CCCCCGTGTCCACGGCCCGGCCCCTCCGCAGATGCAAGCAGAACCAGGACATGCTCTCCTTCTATGCCGTCGTCATCGGGCTCAACAACGCGGCCATCAGCCGCCTGCGCCTCACCTGGGAGGTGAGGGGCTCCCTTGGGATGCTCCCGGTCCCACCGGGATGCTCCCGAGCCTGTTGGGATGCTCGCGGTCCCACTGGGATGCTTCCCGACTGCCTTGGGATGCCCCGCGTCCCACCGAGATGCTCATGGTCCCGCTGCACTTTTGCATTTCAGAAGCTCCCGGGGAAGTTCAAGAACCTGTTTCGGAAGTTTGAGAACCTGACGGTGAGGAGGGGGGTCCGGGGTGGGAGCTGTCCTGGCCCTTCCCGCCCCGTCCCGCCGCCCTGAGCCGCTGCTCTCCCCAGGATCCCTGCAGGAACCACAAGAGCTACCGGGAGGTGCTGGCCAAGATGAAGCCTCCGCTCATCCCCTTCGTGCCGCTCATCCTCAAAGGTGAGGAGGGTGCGTGGGGGGGGCGCTGGGTGCTGCCGCCCCCCTGGGACCCCCTCACCCCTCTGATCCTCCCCCCAGATCTCACCTTCTTGCACGAGGGCAGCAAGACCCTCCTGGACGGGCTGGTCAACATGGAGAAGCTGGTGAGAGCCTGGCCAGGGTGGAGCCCCCTGCGTGGGGTGGGGGTCCCGGTATCCCCAGGAGGAGAATGTGGGGCAGGGGTTGGGGGGTGCGCAGTGATGATCTGGGGTGCAGAGCAGGGTCCCCAAGGGAGCTGTGGGGCAGATGTCCCCAAGGTGGCTGTGGCATCAATGAGCCCCGAGCGGGGTCCCCAGGGAGCATCATGCTGGGGGTGCAGAGCGTCTGGGGGGGAGACACGGGGGTCTGTGTGACAGAGGGGTCCCTGAGGGGGGATAGTCCCTGGGCTCCCTGTGAGTGGGTGTCCCTGGAGAGGGATCCCGGGGGTCCCCATGGGTGGGTGTCCCCAGATCGGTGTGTCCAGGAGGTCCCCATGGGGGGGTGTCCCCAGAGCCAGACCCTGGGG